ACGGCAGGCGTTGGCACGATAAAGATCCCTCACTGCTCAATGGCCCTGAGTGCCGAGTAAAGGTCAAAATTTGAAGCCCTTCACCGGTATATGGTGACGTCTCTATATGAGTGAAAAATTCTCGAATGGGACGTAAAACAATATACAATCAATCAATCAATCAATCATCTTCATATGTTTTGAAATATTTTATAATAGATATACGTCCTCTTGTTAAATGAAAAAAAATAGTATTTTGATATTTTAGTAGCATCAACACTGTCCTTTGCTTTAAAGGAGGGATTTCAGTTGTCTGACTCCCCCGGAATTCTAATCCTTCTAACATTTATCTGATATTGACTCACTTTTAGTTCCATGTACATTGTAAGCTCTGTAAAACTTAAAACCGTGGTCTTCTAAAACTTTTTCAACCTTTGTACTCATTACATAAAACATGTACTCCAACATCTTATCTTCATTTAAACATTATATTTTATATATACATGTTAATGGCAATGCAAAGGGCGAAGTGTCTTTTTCTTTATACCTATAAGAAAAGATTGTGTAATTTTATCATAGATCATTAAATTTCATTAGGACGGATTTACAAGATTCAAGGCAAATGGGAGAAAACTAGGTGTGTCGTTAACGCCACGAATGCCCCCGCAAAACAGCCAAAATTTCAAATGCAATATTAAGTTTTAAATTTGTATTCAAACTTGACCCGTATTTTCAGATAAAATACCTGCAAATGCAATTTCAACCTTTTACATGCATTCCTACAAAATTAAGAGAGCAGAAACTGAAAATTTCTTATTTTTTCTAAGTTTAAGAGGGATAACTGTCATAAATCACTGGACCACGACCAAATTCAAATTGACCCCTATTTTCTGGTAAAATACCTGCACATGCAATTTCAACCTTATACAAACATCCCTACAAAAGTTAGAAAGCTGAAACTAAATATTTTTTTCTACGTTCAAGAGGGATAACTTTGTCAAAAATCATCGAACCATGGCCAAATTCAAACTTGAATTGCATTTTCTGGTAAAATACCGCACATGCAATTTCAACCTTATACATGCATCTCTACAAAAGTTAGAGATCGGAAACTGAAAATTCCAAAAGGGAAACTTCTTTCAAAAATCATTTCACCATGACCAAATTCGAACTTGACCCGTATTTTCTGATACATTTAAAATACCTGCATATGCAATTTTAACCTTATACATACATCCCTACAAAAGTTACAGAGCGGAAACTGAACATTTCTTATTTTATCTAAATTCAAGAGGGATAACTCTGTAAAAAATCATTGGATCATGACAAAATTCGGTTTTGATCTTTATTTACTGGTAAAATACCTGCATATGCACTTTCAACCTTATACATACATCCCAACAAAAGTCACAGAGAGGAAACTGAACATTTCTTTTTTTCTAAGTTCAAGAGGTATAACTCTGTCAAAAATCATTGGACCATAACCAAATTCAAACTTGACCTGCGTATTTCTATGACGTATCCATGTGTAAAATTTGAGTTGAACGTGTACAATTGTTGCAGAGATAATGAACGGAAAGTGAATAATGGCGAAATGACAGAATGACGGAACAGGGTAACACCATATGCCCCAGCCATTTCATGGCAGGGGCATAAAAAACACTCACAATTATATAGCATGATATTTCGAGGTAGCCTTTTCAAAGAATTCATTTTATATATTATTACCTTTCATTGCACAACTCCCGAAAGTGTTTTCCTTAAATTGTGGGAGATATATACTGTTAACTCAGTAATTTAACGGGGATTAAGTTTTATTATCATTATTTTTTTATTATTATCTTTTTGGATACGAAAAGGCCAGAAATTTATGTCTTCTGAAAAAAATCAAATATCAAACTTCAGAAAACTCTGAACTTCTTCAATCACCCGAACTCAAAACATTAGAAACCAATACGTGCTACTTAAGCTACAAAAATTTGACCCTATGAAAATGAAATATTTTACAGGTCAATCACATACGCTATTTTGTATTTATCCAACCCAGGAGTCGTCCGTTTTACAGGCACAGACTGGACATCCGTCTACCATTTTGTGACCTTGAGGGCAGTAGATGTCACACATGACCCCTGAGCAGAGGTTTTGAGTCACTTTAGTTATAGGTACCTTTGTAGTTGTGGTATGCTCTAGATAAGAGAAAGCATTTGTTGACAAAGTTCAAGAACATTTGAATAAAAGAGCATAAAAGATCATAAAGGTCGTCTATATTATTAAAAGGGGGCGGAAATCAGAGAGCCCAATAACGAGGGCAAATGATGGTCATTAAAAAAAAATCATTGCAGTGATTCCCAAACGCCAAGCACTTTTACCCATGGATTTTATATAAATATTCCCTGAATTTTAATTAATTTGAACATAGAGTTACCGTAAATACAATAAGACTAGGTACCCTGAACGAATTGTATCTATGAAAAGTATAAAGTGTGACATAAACGTCCTGTGAAAGCCTTAGTTGGCATTATATATTGATGAAAATTGTTTTGTTGGTTAATACAATACATCAAACATAAGCACAACACATACATATACCAGCAACATGCTCAACCAGTGACATTCTATTAAGTTTGAACTTTGCTTGGTAAAACATATGTATCAAACTGGATAGATATATAGCCTTACTCAAAAGAACATACTCTTGCTTTGTAAGAACAATTCTACTGGAAGTTCTACTAACCAACCAACTAACCAACATACTCTTACTTTGTAAGAACAATTCTATCGGAAGTTCTACTAACCACTTCGACATCGACATGTAGGGCAGCCTCTTTCATCTTGTACATTTCCAAATGGACACCAGATCATACACACAGGTCCACAGAGTACGGCGTCTAGGTTAGCTGACTCGACTGTAAAATACGCAATACACAGAACAATCATATCGGATATAACGAGTAACAATTATAACGAATCATAATTGTTCGTCATTTGCACTTCGCTATTTAAGCGTGGTTTCCTATATGAAGAAAAAATAAGAAAAAAATCAACATTGAGATAAAAAAAAAACTGCATTGACTTAGAGTGTCATACTTTATATAAGTATAAGGATTAAAATACAATAAATTGCTTGTAAATTTTATTTTCTTCATATTTTAAATTGACAGCACTTCAGAATGAAATCAAATCGATATCAGTCAACAAATGTTTTAAATAATGGCAAAAATAAATTATTTCGTATTTGTTACCATCAAACCAAACTAATACATATTTGAAATAATAGAAAAGAAAAAAATACCGCTTAATACACAAAGGAATCCAAGGAGTGCGACAAGAATATTTCTCATTATTTTAGTTAAGATATAACACAAATACAATTCTATTCCTTTTATCAGTGAGGTTTAATACCAATTGAATATGAACCAAAGATAAGACACTGGAATTTTGAGGGAGTGAAGATATGGAGTAATTAAGTACAGATCACTTACATGTAGCAATGCCAAGCCAACAAATATTTTCAATATCATTTTATCAATTGTGCAATATGAAATAATTTCGTTTTAATAAAAATGGCTATTTTAATAATCTATTGCCAATGGCATATTCAAATTGTTCCTGTACTCTTGTTATATAATATAATGCTAGCACATAGATACTCAATGAGTAACTAATATGTCTTCGTTTTGCCTTCCAAACACTATACCCCACTCAATAACTTTACAGTCACAAACAGACATCTATCCATTAGAATATCCCTAGCATAAAAACATAAGAGAACCCACTATCATTATATGACAACAAATATCCACCATATAAAAATAAGATACATCTTCACTTACAGGAAGAAGCGGGATCCACCGACTGTGTTTCAACACAGACCAAAAGTCATGTCTTTCTTAGACCTTTATTGACCCTTCCTAGTTTTAGATAAGGATATTATATTTCCTTTGTGCATGGTTATTATACATCTGTGCAAAATATCGAGTCGAAATCACAAATCGTGAAAATCTTAGCACATTATACAAAAAAATCTACAAATAAAAAGAAAAGATAATGTCATTTACGTTTTTGATTGTTGCCTAAATTATTTAAAACAGATTAAATGTACAATTCTGGTTTTAAAAAGAAAATATCAACAGATTGTTTTTAATGTAATTATTGATTTAGTAAATTTACGATGTTTCCTGCAATCATTTCATGGATTGTTGCATTTATTTATTATTTAATATATTTATTTCATGTTTCTTTAATCTAGGTCAAAGAGACGATTATAGGATCACGTGGCAAACAGTATCAGGCATGAAAACTCCCTTATCAAAATGGCGGGCTTGGGACTTTCTGTTAATATGAAAGGTAAGAATTTCAATATATGTCCATGTCTACTTCATAGATATGAATTGTTCAGTTTGTTTTAAGAAATTCGAAAAATATTGGGATTTATCCATTTGAAGAGGTGCATGTAAGAGACTTAAGTAAGTAGCACCGCTTCAAAAATACGAATAATGTTGTTAATTTTTGATAGAAGAAATAAATCTTGGTTGATTATGCGACATAATTATAAGTTTAAATGACTGAGTAAAATTTGAGAACAATATTTAGATAAAAGACATGATGTCCATTCGGACTTTTTCTGCCTTAAACCTTGCACTATCCTACTCAAAATACATTATTGATCTTATTGTACTCGGGAATGACAATTGTATAATACAGGCCTTGAGTTTGAATAGAAATAGAATATAGATCGTTTATTTCATATGATGAGAATTTAATAGAAAAGCATATCATATATAATATTAATATGAGAATACTAACTACAAAACTGCATTGAAATCAAAACATTTTCCTCTAGTACATTGTTAATATCTTGCATGAATTATCATTAATTAGAATATGAAATAATCATTAATTGAAATCCATATGACTTAGTTTTATAACAGTTACTCACATAAGTGATTCGCAATCCGTTACAAAAGTGTGAAAAGTACTTCTGTTGACAGGTATATGTGTGTTAAGTGAGATTCCTTTGATGATATTATTGTTTCTGATGATTGGCAATGTGCAAGGATTTCTCACAGACGCCAACGCACAAGGTAAGAGTGTTAAAGATTTTCTTTGTCATTTCTGTTCATGTTTATCTTCTCTGAACTATCAATGCTGAATGTCTTAGAACAAATTTTACCGACGTAAAAATTCCTTGATAAATTTATTGATAATATAAACTATGAGATTGCCTAAGGGTTTCTTTCTACACGAAGTACATTTAATGTTCAATATTTCAACAAAAATGTGTTTGCTTCAGAAAAATCCAAAAAATTAAGCATTTAAAAACATTCAGATCTCAGCTAAAAAAACTGTATACTTTTTTTTTTTTTTCGCCTGTCGTTCGTTTTAGAGTTTTTGCTACTCTTTTTAAATTTGAAGTGTATTGCAGCAAAAATTGAAATGATAGTTAAGATAATACTCAAGTATATATATAAAAAAATCATGGAGTGTTAATAAGGCGAGTAATTTAAAGACGCTTTGATAATTTTTTGCACGGGAAGAGAGAGAATTAAAGAACATGAGGAAAGGCACTCCTATCTAAACCTCATTATGCCATGCTTATGTAATAAATTATCTCTATACTACAGTTGCTGGTCCACTTTGTTATTCCTGTTTACATGTCGCACATCAGAGGGACTGTACACGTATTGTCCAGTGCGGTCCTCACGAGGTAAGATGTTACACAACGACAATTATTCTACATTCTAAAAAAGGCAATAGAATATCCTTTAATTTCTACGCAATTTTACTAATCATTGTCAAATATTCAACGCACTTAATTCTTTATTTTAGAAATGTTATGGCAGAAGGTTTATAACTCCAGATGGTCTGGTATATTTTTCATCCGGTTGTGAATCAATAGCCGTGAGTACTTTCAGTACCTTGATAATATTGCTATATTTCTTGTTTAGCTATGAAACAATAGATATTGGGTACCAGTCATATCTATGGCCATTATGTATCCATAAAGAGAAACGTGGTAAAACACCTTGGAACCATATATTTTGCATTGCTAATTAAAAATATCATAGTCGTTCAAATATTTATATTCAACATGAATTTGTTATAGAGTGTCAAATTATAAAGAAAGGCTAGATAACAGTAAACATAGGCAACATAATAGAGGCATTTTGTCTTCTAAATTATGCTTAAATGAGGTCTGCTTCAGAAGATTGTTTGATTGTATGTTGTTTTACGTCCCATTAGAGAATTTTTCATTCATATAGAGACGTCACCATATACCGGTGAAGGGTTTCAAATTTTGACCTTTACTCGGCGCTAAGGGCCATTGAGCAGTGAGGAATCTTTATCGTGCCAATGCCTGCCGTGACACGGGGTCTCGGTTTTTTAGGTCTCATCCGAAGGACCCGCAACTTTCACTTCAATGTGCCGAGCGCATGGCAAAGGAACAGTTGCTACCTATTTTTTATCGACTTAGGTCAGTCGCGGCTGAGATTCGAACTCACGACCTCCCGATCACGGAGCGAGCGCTCTACAAACCGAGTACCGTGAACGGTACTGCTTCAGAAGAAATATTGTTTAAATGACAAATATTTAGGATGAGGATTTTCTTGCGAAATGAAAACAATTATCAAGAAAATAGACCTGCCTTCATGCAATAAGAAACTTCCAAATAATACAAGTTAATACAAGTTAAATATGGTTACACATGCTTAAATTTCTAAGTATGCTTTACATTACATTCACTTCAATTACATTTCATGAAAATAATTGCATCTCTATGTACAACTAGGGTTGTGGAGCACGTCGCTCGATCCCGCAAGACAAATCGAACACCTTGTTGAAGGCTGTTAGGGCGGGTAATGGGGACATACAGGCTTGTGATCAGTGTTGTGATGGTGACTACTGCAATCTCCAGCTTTGTGATAATCCCATACGTAAGTCAATTTTAATGAATCAATACAAGTTGGAGATAGTAATCTAAATAATTCCGTGATAACTCCATCTGTACGTCAACTTTGTGATAATCCTATAAGAAAGTTGATTTTATTTTTCAAAATTATGTAGAAGACAGCTCCATCAAAGTTGAACAAGCTCTGATTCGATATGATTCATTAAATTGCACAGGTTATGAACGACTTTGTTGTATTAAAATTCGAGCACATGTCGAGCCGAAGGATCAAGTGAGATTTTCTGATCAAAATTTGTCCGTTGTCTGCCATCCCTATTGTTGTCGTTGTCGTCGTTATTCTTAGCGTCATGAACTTTTAAAGGTTTTATCTTCTTCAGAACCACTGGACCAATTTCAACCACTATCTACAAAGCATTCGTGGGTAAAAGGGATTAAAGGTTGCTTAAAAGAATGACCACACCCTCTTTCATAGAGAGATACTTAAGAATTAGTGAACATTTCAGGGCACCTTTCAAAACTCTTCTTAAAACTAGTGGGCTAGAAAAGTTGAAAGCTTTATTACAGAGTCAAGTCAAGTTTATTCAAATAATGACCCGCTGGGTAATGGTGGGGCCAAAATAGGGGATCAAAATTTTACACAGGACAGTATAGGAAATACCTTTAAAAATCTTCTTCTCAATAAGAATAAAGCCATGATTAGTCATATTAATCCAGAAACATCCTTGGGTTGTGTAAATTCAAGTTTGTTCAAATCATGACCCCAGGGGGCAGGGTGTGGCTACAATAAGGTATCAAATTTTTACATAGGAATATATAGGAAACATCTTGAAACTCATCTCTTAATGAACAGCAAAGCCATAATTTGTCATATTGATATGGGAGGAAATTTGTTCAAATCATCAGGTAGATATATATATTTTACTCCTGAGGTGGATTCTGCTTTTATCTAGCCATAGTGCTCAGGTGAGGAATGTGGCCCACGGGCCTCTTGTTTTTATTTCAATTTTTTTCTAAAAATTTCCAATTTTAGATAAAATATAGTCAAAATACTTTGACAATCAAAAAAAAAGAAGCATATGAAATCTTGTGTTTATCAATTTTTTTATGTTGTTCATAATCTGCAATTATAACAATTTTAATTGTTCATATTCTGCTGTAGAATTAAAACAGCGGTGTCTCTTCTGTGATGACGTAATTCATCCCGAAGACTGCAATCTCTCTCTACAGTGTGATGAAGATCAAGTAAATATTTTTCTTTTATTCTCAATTATATCTCTTTTTATGTTAATGGATTTTGACATTGGTTAAATGTTGCATATCTGACCCTTCAAAAATTTAATCATCATTACTTCTGCCTTACAGACACATCAGTTAATAATCTATGTCAAACAAATCAAATAATTATATTTTTATGCAATACTCTTCTTTTCATTACTGCATACTCGGTAAAGTGATTGCATTTCAACCAAGGTAGATTGTAACCTTTGATTTAGCCAAACAAACAAAATGAAAACATTTATATAATGAAAGCTTATACTTCAAATCTTTTCCTTTTGTTTTCAAAAGATTTGCTACACGGAACACATTTATGTTAACGATGAAAAAAGATTCAGAATGGGATGTGCCCCAAAAAGTGTAAGTAAATATGACAGGAGATACATATCATTTTTTATGAATAATTAACATTTCGTTTGCTTAACTGTAATTGTGTTACACTGTGCTAGAACTCTTTTATGTTTGTATTTGAAGCAACTCTTTATAAAACGGTTGTGTTCACTGCTACCTCAGTAACGGAATATTTTCCTACTGTGTTCCTACATTTTACAATGTGCTACTCTGTACATATCAACAGTGTAACGTACAGGCCTTACTTTGTACTTTTGCGTATTGTTCCATACGTTTGTTACACTGCTCTGCTCGTCAATGTAACTTTATTATAACCACATTATATATGTATAAAAGTTCAATTCTATGTATGTTACACACTAGTATTTGTCCATTTTCTTCCGTAAAATGTAGTGATGCTTCGTACTGCAAAAAAGTTAAATTGTATGATAAGCATTGATACTGCTGTTCTGTTACTTTAGGAAATCAGAGCTGTACGTAGCAACGGTATGACATAGTGTTGCTATCCTACAAGTAGTCACTGTACTGGTATTTCACTTTCATTTTCAACCGTTTTGCGTAGTGTTTTTATTCTACGTTTAATCACTATACTGTTATTTCACTATAAGAGTTTTTTTTTTTTTTTTTTTTTTAGATTTTACCTTAGATTTTAACTGTACGTTGCTGTACTGTACCTTCAATATTACACTGTGTTGTAGTTCAACTTTAAGTGCACTTCATTGGAATATAATTACAGGGATATGTAGTTATAAGTCTGTTACGTTGTACAAGTTATTACAGGGATGTACAATTGTAATTATGTTACACTATACATGTAATTACAGAGATATGTTCTTATATGTATGATACATTGTCCACGTAATTACAGAGGTGTGTAATTGTAAGTATACTGCACATGCAATTACAGGGATCTGTTCTTATATGTATGATACATTGTACACGTAATTACAGGGATGTATTGTTATATATGTATGATACAATGTACGCGTCATTACAGGGATCTGTTCTTATATGTATGATACAATGTACGCGTCATTACAGGGATCTGTTCTTATATGTATGATACATTGTACACGTAATTACAGGGATGTATTGTTGCTACACCGTCAGGACCTCCAGTGTCAGTCGTTGGAAAACGAAACAATGAGTTACCGTTCTTAGATCGCTATAGAAAAGCTTTACCTACAGATCGAAAATATTGCGCCAAATGCTGTACTGGACCTAACTGTAACCGGGACCTATGTACATCTAGACAAGGTTAGATGTGTAATTGTTTTCTATATGTAGACATACCACTATGGCCAATGGAGAATATATAGATCTATAAATTATTATTTTACTTTAAAACCTCTGATACTAAAATGTTTATCAACTCTGCCCTTGCAAGCCTTTATTTTGATGTTAATCGTTTAATTTTTACCTTCGTGTAAAATGAGTTTTAGAGTGTACATTGTATTGAATTTAAAAAACATTTACTTCATCTAAGGCTGTTGTCAAAGAATTTGTGAGCTCCTGTGTTTATTACTTTTATAGGTATTTTATTTTTTCAGTTATTAATCAATATCAATTGGTAGCGCCACCTCCTTTGGTCCTTTGTCAAGATTATGACGAGACGTCATGTAGGAGTGGTCTGGTTGATGCTAATTTCTGCCAGGATCTAGTAAACAAGAGACTGTTTTGCCCAAGGACCTGCAATACGTGTTGTATGTATAACAAAATTTGTCAGTAACTTGGGGAACGTTACATCGAAATGTCAATTTATTCCTTAAACTGTACATTTCAGATCAGATTAAGGGTTTTGCTGTTAGTTATGTAGGTTTAAGCTATCTCAAGGTTATTCCGAAAGCTCTCATTATTAGAAGAAATATCCTCAAAGCTCAGCGCGTTTAAATGTTTTGTGAAATTTTATCTTCAAATTATGAATATTTACACATTTCGATTAAATTGAATGTTCTGCATGTCACTTTTTCTACAAACCTATTCCCACATATTTACTACTCATATCTATACACATCATAAAGGCGACCTTATGCGCTTTCTTTTCATCACCCATGTTCGTTATATTTTACATACATATAGCGGAGTACAAAATTAGGTATGCATATCAATGTAAAAAAAAAAAAAACTTTTTGTGAGAGCTTATAAAAAAGATAAATATCCGTTCATAAATATTAACAGAGATGCAATTTACTTCTATTTCAGCTGGAGGTGGAATACCTCTCCCTGTTACCACAGCAATAACTACAGCAGGTATTACTTCAATAAAATAAATATCTCAATCTTACCACAGGCACTTCTATAAAATAAAAAACCTTCCTGTTACCTCAGCAATTATGACAGAAGGTATTGCTTAAATAAAATATCTCCCATTTACCACAGCAATTACAACAGCGGTTATTGCTTAAAAAAATAAAAAATAAATAAATATCTCTCGTTACCGCAGCAATTCAACAACAGGTATTGCTTCAATAGAATAAATATCTCCCTGTTTCGACAGCTATTACAACAGCAGGTATTGTTTTGATAAAACAAATATCTCCCTGTTACCAAGGCAGGTATTACTTAAATAAAATTAATATCTCCCTGTTAACACAGTAATTACCCCAACAGTTTTGCTTCAATAAAATGTCTCCCTTTTATCATAATATTTACTGCAACAAGTATTTCTTCAATACAATATTTATCTCTCTTTTATCATAATAATATCCACAAGAAGTAATGTTTAAAAAAATATGTATCTCCCTGTTATCATAGTATTTATCGCATCAGTTATTGCTTGAATGGAATGCTTATATATCTGCTTTCACAGCAATTACCCAACAGTTACTGCTTCAATAAAATATATACCTATCTGTTATCAGAGCATTTACCGCAACAGGTGCTGCTTCAATGAAATATTTATCTCCCAGTTATCACAGAACTTACCGCAACAGTTATCGCTTAAATGAAATATTTCTCTCCCTGTTACCACAGCCATTACCACAGCAGGTATTGCTTCAATAAAATATTTTTCTTTCTTGTTATCACTAAAAATTACTTCAACAGGAATTCCTTCGGTTAAGTAAATATCCCCTTGTTACTGCAATAATTACTAAAAACGGTGTTGCTTCAGTAAAAAAAATGTCCCCCTGTTACCATAACAATTACGACAATAGGAAATGCTTCATAAAATATGCATGAACAAGATATTATTAACATATAATGTTTCTAGAACTAGCTATATGATTTGTAGATGGATCAACAGATGTACGTATATAAATATAATTCAAACTGCTATCCATGTTTGTGAGTTTCTGACCCTTTTCTTTTATTTCAGGCAGCGGAAGCACAACACCCGGTAAGTGTTGCAGTTATTAATTTTTACCTAATCTCAAGGAATTGTTGCATACATTAAAAATGTTTGATACATAAAAAAAACCCATCAATTTAGTTAAAACGAAATTTAGTTAAACGTAAACGTGAACGTGATATTCTGTTTGCCTTTGTAGCAGGGTGTACGGATAAAAATCCAAGCCAATGCCAGCAATATAAGGACTTTTTCTGTGATCCTTCAAACCCTGGTGGAATAGACGTCTGTCCAGTGACCTGTAATAAGCCAGGATGTTCATCAGGTCATAAGATTTAAAAATAATAATCGATTGTTTTTGTTTCTTTTTTTTGGGGGGGGGGGTGTCAGCAAAATAATGAATGATAAATTATAAAATCCTATTTAAGAAATGTTAGAATCATTTACAGAATCTGGTGTATCATAGAAATTCGAAGCCGGCCACCTCAACATTAATTAGTCAGAAGGGAGTGCAAAAGTCTGTGTATGATAAATGCATAACATAATTTCCATATAATGTATTTATGAATATCTATATGATTTGTAGGTGGATCGACAGGTATGTAAAAAAATATATGTACTGTTTTCCTATCATTTTTATATGAACTGTAATGCTCCCTCCAGCCCTGAAATAAAATACCGTGTCAAAAGAAATGAATACTGTATGATTTTTTCGGGGGGGGGGGGGGGGGCACGATTTAAAGAATGATTATGGAGTGAAGTTGACGATAGTTTTCTACATCCTGAAAAATAATGAAGAAAAGTTGTACTAATTCATACTGAGAAAAAAACACGATATACAGTGCATATATTATATATTTGATAAGAAGCAATTAAATATTACACGATGTATTTTACATTTTTTCTGATTACAGTGAATCCAGTAACAGGTTAGTACATAAGTTCCATTTGTCAATGTTTGATTTTCCTATTTATCTATCATGACAAGGAGCACACGGCGGAGGTGATCTGTCGGCAGGGGATGCTCACTCCTCCATGGCACCTGATCCCTCCTCTGATGTTTTGGAGGTCCATGTTTACTCTGCTTCCGATTTGTATTGTTTTAATGGACTTTGATCTTGAATACTGTTCGTTATCACCATATTTCATACCTATTATCAATCTGACAAATGTTTTCGGAGGAAAGTACATAATACAGAGTGCATTGCTTCACGACGTTTCAGTTTTGACTTGCACTCACACAACAGGCGCTATTTCACCTCTTTACAAGCAGAAGTTCTTAATATAAATATCGCATAAGAGACAGCAATCAAAGGAATGTAATACTCACAAACCACTCGCATAACGAATTATTAAAAAAAAAACACATTACGAATAAATATATTCATACGAAGCATTTGTTTAAAATTCATATACAATTTTGATTTGTATCTGCATTTTTCAAGTAATTTATAAGTATAAGGCTTAATTTATAATTCTGTTATATTCATAATCTTCGAAATTCCATTCTGCCACCCGTAGATTTTTGCTAGTTGAAAATGACAAAACGCTAAAATTAACAGAATTCATTTTAAATAGGTCTTTTTTAATTTTATGAATGCGTTTTTTATTTACAGTTTCATCTAAACCCACTTCTCCTCGTAAGTATGCATAACATGGATGACATTACAACCAATATTGATGACGTTACAACCAATAGATTTTAAGGATCACTTAATTCATAATTTTCAAATATGTTCTTTATCATATCTCTGAGCTGAACATAACATTGAATATACACTGTGAATTTTTATTATGGGACTTACTGTAAAAAGTAGCAAATTTATCGAAGAATAGAAACTATTTTGCTCACACTTTACAGAGAAATTGATTCTGTAGAAGATAATTATATGTATTTCTTTTTTCAAAAAGAATCTTATTCACATTTAGACATTTGTTTTCGTTTTGATGCGATTTAAGTACATTCACACACAAACAAGTATATTAAAAATCATAACCAAACAACTAAGTCTCAAAAATGAAACTTATTTTCTTTGACTGAACTATATTTAAGGAATCGCTGTCTATTTTGTTGGGTATGCCAGGACACCAACGATAGTTGGAAACGTGGAATAATTTGCGTAACGGGCAAAACCCGTCATGCATAAATTATCCCAAGTTTCCAACTGTCGTTGATGTCCCTGGCATACCCAATAAACTAGACAGTGATTCCTGATATTCACATTTATATGTGAAATAAAATTGTCAATATAAATTAAAAAACTGTCTTATAGATTTAAAATACACAAGGCCTACCATGATAATTTTAATAGTCCCTGCCCAATGACTCAGACACAAAGACAGCCGCACGAGATTGGCATGCATATTAGGCTCCTGACCTTTTGCGAAATTTACAGTCAGGTGTAATTATCAAGAAATCAACACAGCTAACTTTCAAAGAGTTATAAGAGAGAAAACAATCCAAACTGTAAATATATAAATATATATTCTTGCAGAAGCAATATCATTGAACGTTAATCTATATTCTACATATGCAAAAGATATGAGAAAGGAAGATTTCCCTCTCATAATGAAAGTTTCTTTTTTTTATATCGAGATATAGAAAGATATGGTAACAAATTAATACAGAAATTCCTACTTGTGATGAATTGATATTTAATATTGTATATTTTCAGTCAGGAATTATTGATAGCAAAATGAAAGAATATATTATCAATGTACTTTTCCTTTTATTGATTTAAAAGTTTACTTTTACTTTCTAAATAGTATAGATTTTTTGGTATTGTCTAAATATCAGATACTTGATTTTTTCATCAGCCTGTTCAGATCCTATTCCTCCATGTCAATGTGAGTATCTACAGAACAAACTTCAGATCTGCAACGATGGAGATCAAGAGCTTCAGAAATTCTGCTGCTTTTACTGTAAGAAGGTGCATGATCCGAATTGGGTATGCTCTACGACAGATAGAACATTTTGTGACGCTTATGAAAAGCCGTTCGCTCAAGAGTGAGTACCTTTCATACATAGTAATGTAAAAGTGAAGATATCGTAAAGTGATCGATCTCAAAAAACCTATACACAATACAAATATGTGAATAGGGAATAAAACACGGGCCCCTGGAAATTCCAGAGGTTGGTCCAGGTGCCTAGGAGGAGTAAGCATCCCCTGTTGACCGTAAAGCCCGACTTAAAGCAGTTAATACACTCTTGTCTTTCAAAATATCAGTTATTCAGAGTGTTTCTTATTACAATCATTTTATTTCTAAACAATGTATTGAGCCCAATTTCCCCTAAATATTATGTTTATATTTATTAAAAACAATCCTTGCAAAAGTCAACATTGGATGTTTTCCTGTGACAACATACTAGCACATAACATAGTTACGCTTTTCGTTTTGTTTGTGTATATTTTATTTTGGGAACAAATATTGTCTGTTGATTAGACTAATATGAGTACACTTATAATATCCTATAATGAACAAATGATAATTTTGATTTGATTTTAAAACTTCTGATTTTGACAAGCTTTTAGTCACATCATTATGATTTTTTGTTTTGCTCTTTTTTTCAGAATTATGGGTATAAACATAACCTGTCACCATTAGTGATAATAAAGATATTTGTAAGGAAATAACGAGATGTTATTCTTATCTTTCTTTTCGTCATACATGCAAATAAAATATTCCCAAAGGCTCTTCAGCACGAGACATATAATAAAAAGAGAATTACAAAGTGAAAAATGGCTGTTTTTTCTTGCTAATTGTAAAATTATAATATTGTTTGTTTGTTGTTTAAAGACCCTCTCGACAATTTTTCACTCATATGAAGACGCCACCACTTGCCGGTCGAGAGCTGCAAATTTATACCTATACTGGGCATTTAGGGCTAAAATAATATTGTATCAAAGTCACACGTTGCAAAATTGAATAAGATATTTAATAATTAGTTGGAATGAGTTGGAAGACCTGGATACCATGATTGATAAAAATCATGATAAAATGTTTTAAGTTCCATGGCCCACATTTAAAGTAACTGCAGCCAATAAGTTTACACATAATGAAAATGATCGTACTTAATTGTCGATATTTTCAGTTTTCTTATGAAATTGTCCATTTTATTGTTTTTTTTCTCTTTGGGTTTCTCCTAGTTACAACAATGCCATTTTTAGAAAAAGTATTAAAGTGTTAAAATAAAGGCATAAACACACATCTTTTAAGGAGGAACAGACCTTGAGCTGAAAAAATCTAGTCAATGATTTTTTTCTTTTTTCATATTTTGTATATTTTTAATTTAGTATGTCCTACATATCTTAAAGCAATTCTGTCATCACTTTTCTTGACTTGTTTAAGAGATATCGCCATACAAATATCGCGCCTTACAGTGTCTGTATTAAGTTTTGATTCTTCGTGTTTACGGGTCCATATGCATTATTGAGTCTATAATGGGAATTTTTAAACACAAACAAAAAATATGTACATAAGGACATGCAGCTCTTCAAATATTCAGAATATAAATAGTTTTTAGGGTTCTAACGGCATTTTCTCATATTTCACAATGTATATGGACTGGATAAATTACGCACTTTTCAAGACGGTTTCAACGACAATAAACGCACTTGGAAAAAAATTCTGTCGATAAATATCTTAAAATTTACGATTGAACTGAGGTCCTTCTTCGTAGTAATTAATTGTTTCGTAAGGTGAAGCTTACCTCATTATCACACAGGGCATAGTTGATCAAGACATAAGCGTGGTAAAACACTTCATGTTTACATTTTCCGAGTACGGGAAAACAACTGTGACCCACACGAAAACTTACACAAGCGAAATGGCATAATTCATATAATCTCTGCTACATACAATTATTATTGTAATTCCTGCTTCAAAAAATTTATCACCATGCATTGACTGTAATCTATTTTAATGTTTTTAAACTGACCAGGTAATTAAGTGTACTTGATCTCACTGCACTGAGAGATCATATATGACGACACGGACATGTAAGACTGCAGCGTGAAGAAACAGAGGGTTGGATCAATCGATTTCACAATTTTTAAATATTTACATGGTCGTTTAAAATTCTTAAATATTTTACATAAAATGTTTAAGCTCAACAAGTTGAACAAAAATTACACAAATACAGGTGATTATATCAACGTTTAACACCAACATTAACGGTGATTATGACGTAGTCAATTGAGTCATGTGACATGTGTCCTGTCTCCCCTTAAGAAGCTCTTATCTACCTTCTATAAAAACTACAATATGTATTCCTCTTTGATCTTTAATATACGAACGTAGGAAGAACAGATAACGTGATATGTTTAGGTAACAAATACACATTTTCACAGGATTTGCTTATCATTACGTCGGGATTTAATCTCTCTTACCGAATAAAGGGTAAGACAAATACAAGGCTTAATTAAACATATTTGTTTTATTTTTCCTTGCATGATTCTTATTTGGAATGTTTTAGATAAATATTAAGTGAATAGCATTTACTGCCTTCAGTATTTTAAAGGACTTTTTTTCAATATTGCAATCCAGAACAAGCAATAAGGATATGCTATTAGAGAGATGGGAAGCAGTATTCGATCATATTTGAATCAGCGTTACATTAGTATTTTGTTTGCTAGCATAGTTGTTTACCTTACTGTAGTTTTGGTTTATCTTCATAAAGATATTACAAATAAATTTCCTTTTAACTCCAAGCCCTTCTTGTGACCATAACTCTTTGGTATACAAATACTCAAATAGATTAAAGAAGAGATTTCGCGGCGCATTGCTCTTTAACTGCAAGTTCCTTCACTTCAAATTCTTTACTACTTAAAATCCAGAAGTAAAAGTCACTTGCAACTTTTTAACAGCTGAAATAGCAATGAATAAAACGTGATAAATAGAATCTCCAATGGATTATGGTTGGAGATGATTTTTATCCAACAAACTGTGTGTTTTTATCGCCGAGTCTTGGTTAGGGGATAAAGACACAATTATTGGATAAAGAATATCATATTTAACCACAAACCATGGGAGATTTTTAAATGTTTATTGTAAGCTCTAGAAACTATTTTAATCGTTTTGCCTGGAATGTGCATTCTCAAATCCACGGAAGGAAATTCTGTGAAAACATGATTTCGTATTATCATTTATATAAACACACAACTTGAAAAAAACCTGATTCTAAAACACAGCTTTTCCTTACTACAAAACAGTTTCCTAGTAAAATATATTGAACTTCAAAGTGTCATTAGTTTCATGGATTTCTTTAACAAATTGAATTTTTAATTTCAAAATATTTTAATTACAATGAATATATTGATAAAAATGGTTCTGATTCTTCACTGAATAAACAGACGTACAATTATGAACAGTTATGCGTTTGCTGAAGTGAATTTAAAGCACTCTGGGCCTTCAACTTCCTGAACTAAAACCTTCCAGAAAAGCAAAGTATTCCTATTAATAATTAAACAATTCGAGCGAAAACTTTCTTTTGTGTATAACATTGGCTGCAATGCTAATAAATTAATTTCTAAAAAGGTCAGCTTGTTGTGAATAAAAAGAAAAGTCAACATTAGTGAAACCAACCATCCATTTTTCTTTCCACGGGGCCCTGAAACAACTATTTTTAATAACGTTATGTAGGACAGATAAACATATTTTTTTTCTTGGTATTAATATCGAACGTTATTTTCTTTTATCTCACTTATGAAGTTTTCATGACTGATTTTGCATGTAAATATTTTAAAAGAAGGGCATTCTGAAGATGATCTATTACATGTACGGGATAATGGATGAAAAGATACTCAGGATTAAAGTATTCAACTGGTCACTAAAAACGATTTAAGACACTTCATTTTAAGCATAAATGGTTGAATTAATAAAGAGGAAAATATCAGTGTTAACCAATGCTGGACTTACATCACTTGGAAATTAACCTGTTCTAAAACCTTAAATTTATCATGAAATATATGGAGATAACGAACAGTATTCAAGCTCAAAAGTCCATTAAACATTACAAAATAGGTGCAGAGCAAACACGGACCTCCAAAACATCAGATGTGGGATCAGGTGCCGTGGAGGAGTAAGCATCCCCATTTATGTAATTAAAAAATAATTTCTTATTCATCTTGAAATCTGAAGATAACGAACAGTTATCAAGCTCAAAAGTCCATTGAAACAATATAAACAGGGAAAGGAGCAAACACGGACCTCTAAAACATCAAAGGTAGAGACAAGTACCATGGAGGAGTAAGCATCCCCTGTCGGCTGGACACACTTACCATCTGTTCCTTATTATGATAGGACAATTCAGTGTGTAAATAATGGTCCAACAATTCGTATGAAAAATGTCAGTATTCGATTTAATGATAGATTGTATTTACTGACAATTGTATCGAACATAGAACTTTCGAAAGTTTGTCTTTGGAAGATTTATAATATACTTCTCTTGAAAAAAAAATGTGGATCAATTTACAAATATGATGTGTATATTGAATAAATTATCTTTTCACAGATATGTTTGCGACGAAAGTTCTGTTAACGAATTTGTTAATAATCTATATGAATGGCTTTGTTCATGGATTTCTTGAAGCGATTCACCATTCACAAGGTAAGATGCATATAATTCTAGAGACCTGAGAAATGTCACTCTCTTCAAACTTGGTGAAAATGAAAGTTATATTATTTTTGGATACCTGAACGATTCCAAGATATGTACAGCCTGAAAATGTATCATATTTGGTAAAAGATTTCAAAAATGTAGTTTAATTTTATTCATAATCTGCATTTCTGATGAGAAAAAATAAAGGACACTTCAATGAGCATACATGGTCAACCAAAATGTAATCCAAATCTTAATTTTACTAGTTAATAGACGGACCAATTAAATATACAAAGGTAAACTGTGTGCTGAAGCTGCCGATCCTAGTTGATATTCCTAAAATGTATCTTACAAAAGAGAATGTCATTGTTTTGCTGCATTTTAAATATTATTTCTTACAGAGAAGTAGTATATGTGATAGGTGGTTCCCTCTAGTATTATGATAAACAGTACATATTGCTTTGATTCCCTACAAATGGTATACCGTGAATAAAGGTCGAAAAGGTTTTTCTTTTTGGGCAATCACCACCGTTTAATCATGATATTATTTTATCAGTAAACTGATAAATGAATAAGGTCTCTGATTGTTTTCGAAGAATAATATCTTAATGCTGCTCCAATAATAAAAGGATCGCTTAAATTTGAAAAAAAAGAGCAATGCCAATGTATAGTTTTTAATTTCAATTTTATTTTACAAATCTCTTTCCATTTTATTTTTTTTTTCATGAAGATCTATCATGTGTTGACAAGAATCCAGCTCAGTGCCAGCAGTACAAGGACTTTTTCTGCGATCCTACTCGTCCCGAGGGAGTCGATGTTTGTCCAGTGACTTGTAAAAAGCCGGGATGTTCAGGTACTCCATTAAAAGTATCCAAATATAGAAAATTATGAGTTGCAAGTTGTCAAATATACGAAGGCTCCTCGGATATTAATGGGACACTGTGTTCATGCTCATCTTTTGAATGACTTTGGGTGAAATTTGCCATATTTGTACGTTTAAAACACTTAGAATAAATAAAAGCTAGAAATATTG